GGAGGTGGACTGGAGATGCCCTTGGGAGTTCATCCGAGAGGAACTGAGAACAATGCGCGGCCGTCGAGGCTCCTCTCGGCCGCGGCCCCCTTCCCGGGCGTCTCCTTCCTACCCTCACCTCCCGCTCGGGCTGCGGTGCGTCCGGGAAGTTCCCGCAAACGTCCGGGCAGCTCTGGGAATCGCAGCGCGCCCCGGGCGGGGAAAGGGGGCCTGTTGTTTGCTCCTGGGTTTCCTTGATCCTGTAGGTGGTTTGCATTTGCAGGTGAATTGAGGGGAAGCCAAATGATCTGCGATTACATAAGGGTCGGATCTTGGCGCACATCACGCAACTTAGGCGTGGGAGGCTTGGGGATGTGTATTTTGTTACGGGGTGGCCCCTGAGGATGTTTTCCTCCGGTCGGTTTTTATTGTATCCTCGATAGAGGCTGCTAGGGAAAGAGGCAGAGCCCTGGGGTGCTAGGTGGAGGTGAAGGGATGTTGGGGATGGAGGAGCTGAGCCCGCAGCGGAGCGCAGGTGAGCTGATGGGAGCTCGGGGAGCAGAGGGGAGTGTGCGGGCCAGTTAGCGAAAGGCTGGGGGAACTAGAATTCGTACTCCATTTTTCCAGTTCAGTTTTTCTTTTTTCCTATACCAAATTTTTGGCACCTTTGCTCTCGTCTCTTCTAATAAATAAAATCAGATGTACTTCTTTAAGCTAAAAAAAAAAAAAAAAGAAAAAATCACATTTTTTAGGTCCCATTACATTCTGAAGATAAGAGATCAGAGTTTTACTTACTTTACAAGTATTCAGAAACACAGGGGATTTTATGGAAGTTTTTGAATAAGGAATGATATCTACAAATGCATGATAATTGCTACTAAACTGAGTGAAATGACTGAGATTGTTGCTCTCAAAAGCTTAAGACCTTGTCAGTAGAAAATACAGAGGGAGCAAGGGAGTCTTTCCGTGTCATATTGAATATCTTGCCATTTGACACAAGTCTTAAATAGAGGCATTTGTGATGTTATATTCAGAATTTAGTTTCTTTCACAGCCTTCCCTTTGGGTGGTTGAGTTGATATTGCTGTGTTTGCTTATCACAAACAGCAGTATCAACTTTCCCAATTTCTGATTTGAAAGTCAGAAATTGTCTAACACTGAGGCATTTTCAGAGACTGTACTAGAGAAAATTCCATTCTAGCCTGAGCCACCAGACTATTTAAAAAACAGTCATTTGCTATCACTTTTATTGTTCTTCTTGCATTAGTTCATGGCTTTGCTTTTGCTTCCTGGCCTTGTTTTATTAGACAGCCCAGGAGGAGATACTTTTTTTCTGCCACGGAGACTTGAATAGAAGGAAAAACTGAAAAGCTGATACGTACTAAGTTTAGCTGATTATCTGTATCTCTGGCATCATTCTTCTTCTGTAGCGTTCACTGTTTTTTTCTATTTGGGGAATTGAGAGGTTTATTTTTCATCTCAATGTGACTTAGTTTCTTGATATAATTAAGCTACAGGATATTTTATTGTTTGCTTTTTTACCTTCTCAGATACTTCTGTTCTTGTTTGTCATTTCTTAATGTATGTTCTTTGAGCTTAGTTTTGTGATTATGAAGTAGATAGGCAGAGGATTTGAGGAAACGGGGAAGGGGAGGAACAAAAGATTATTCTTTCAGGGGTTATTTAAACAAGACTTAACCCTGTCCTGACTGGGACTTTTAACTTTATTCCTCAGTATTTGAGATGAAAAAAATAGATTGGAATGGAACTAAATACAGATAATATTACATTAGGTATATTCACTTTCATTATGTTATACATTGACTAATCGGAGCAGTGTGTCCAGGTAGAGTAATACTGTTTTTTACACTATTTTTTTTAGTATTACTAATCATTTGTGGGAGAAATATGCTTCCATATGGAGCATGATAAGCTTCATGCATAATCAATGTTACCTAATGTCAGTGTAATTTAATGTGCCTTCATTCAAGGGAAGAATGCCAATTTTAATTTGATTACCATTTGCCGTGTGAAAATATGCTTGGAAAAAATTAGTTATGGATAAAATTGAACTCTAAATTATCCATACTCACTCTTCTCACTACGTGTTAAGGAATGATGATTCATTTAGAACCATTGTTCAGTGTTTATCCTATTTAGGTGTAATTAATTCGTACTTCAGATAATTCACTGTTGGAGGAATTTGGGGTTGATATACAAGGAGTTTGTAGTGTTATAAGTTATGTAATATTAACAGCCTGTTGTTCGTCTTTTATGTTAGTTTTCCCCAATATATGTACATTTCTCTTCCATAATTTGGATGGACATTTTTAATGAGTCTGTGACAATGGCAGATAATGTTCCAACATTTCTTAAAATTACTTGAATCACTGAGTCCCTAAGTGTTTGCTGCCTGGATCCTGGGTAAATAAAGAACTGCTAAGAATACAGACTCTCCCAGTATCTGAAGAATGTGCATTTAAAGTTCCATAGTCAGTAAGAATTGATGGTTCGGGAAAGCCTCAAAATGTCAATGCAAACATAACGCAATTAGTACTGACCCATCACGCTCTAGTTGACTTATGTTGTCTGTGAAAACAAAGGTAGGTCAGGGTCCTTCAGCATTCCCCCACCCCTCACCCAGGCCCTGTTTCACCTTTTCATTTCATTTATGAAAACTACTGAAAAGGAGTTTCCATCCTACTGTACTTTTTTCCTGTGTGTCACAGAAAGGATGTGTTTATTACTGAAGGTGATGTGAAATATGTAGCTAACTCATACCCAGAGCCGTTGGAAAGCAATTCAGCCTGTGCCACCTACAGCCATTGCCAGCTCTAGGATGCTTCCGTGTAGGCTCATGTCTCCAACTCTGCCCCTTTAATGTATGTTATTGGTCATTTGGTTTTTCAGATGAAATCCCCACAGTGGTGGGGATCTTCAGCGCGTTTGGCCTGGTCTTCACAGTCTCTCTGTTTGCCTGGATCTGCTGCCAGAGAAAATCATCCAAGTCCAACAAGACTCCTCCGTATAAGTTTGTGCATGTGCTTAAGGGGGTTGATATTTACCCTGAAAACCTAAGTAGCAAAAAGAAGTTTGGAGCAGACGACAAGAATGAAGTAAAGAATAAACCAGCTGTGCCAAAGAATTCATTGCATCTCGACCTTGAGAAGAGAGATCTCAATGGCAATTTTCCCAAAACAAACCTCAAAGCCGGCAGCCCTCCCGGTCTGGAGAACGTGACCCCGAAGCTCCTTTCAGAAGGGGAAAGGGAGGGCGTTTCCCCTGATAGCTTGAAGTCCAGCACTGCCCTTAGCTCAGAAGAGAAACAGGAGAAGCTGGGAACCCTCTTCTTCTCCTTAGAGTACAACTTTGAGAAGAAAACGTTTGTGGTCAACATCAAGGAGGCCCGCGGCCTGCCAGCCATGGACGAGCAGTCGATGACCTCCGACCCATACATCAAAATGACCATCCTCCCAGAGAAGAAGCACAAAGTGAAAACCAGGGTCCTGAGAAAGACCTTGGACCCGGCTTTCGATGAGACCTTTACATTCTACGGGATCCCCTACACCCAGATCCAAGAGCTGGCCTTGCACTTCACAATCTTGAGTTTTGACAGGTTTTCAAGAGATGATGTCATTGGAGAGGTCCTCATTCCTCTGGCAGGAATTGAATTGTCTGATGGGAAAATGTTAATGAACAGAGAGATTATCAAGAGAAACGTTAGGGTAATTCATTTTTAGTGCTTAACCTATTTATAAACAATCTTTTATGTAGCTATTTTTGTTTCGAGGGGGTTTTTATTAAGATAATAAGTTCTGTCTATATCATCTTTACCATCTTTAATTATTATTAATCATAATCAAATAGGGAGCATGGGAATAGAGTAGATGAAAGAAAATTTAATTCATAACTGGAAATGCTTAAAGTATTTTAATAATATAAAACAAATTGGCATTCTTTATGGGATACTTAAATATCACTTATATAAATATTTTTGGTAATTACTATCACAACTGTTTTGACTAAGATGCCATTTCAACTAAAAGGCAGGCACATATTTCTTATTCATGCACAAAGGAACAAAGATGTTTCAAGGTCAGCATAATTGAATCTGAAATTGAAATTTAAAATTAAATCAATGTCTCCTGAGGGTTTGGAAGTTGTATTGACTTTTCATAGAGCTGCTTTTCAAGAAGGAGACAGCACATCATATTGACTCATAAATGGTCATCCCTATGTTGTATAACAGGAAGTGAGTTACTCTGCCTTCAGAGTTATACTACTTCAGTAGTTCTGGGATTGTTAGCAAATGATCAGATGTTAATCAAATTTAATCCTATTTCCATATTACATACAGAATACAGAACTCCATTGAATTGATTCCAGTTGAGGTGTTTTAGAATAACTTGTGTCTCTAAGGCATAATTTCATAGAATTCCATAAAGCTCATCATTTTAACCATATCACTGCCTTTGTCTCTTTGTTGAAATGAATGAAAGTCAAGGTCCAGAAACATTAAGTAGCTTGTTTGAGACGTCTGGCTGTTCAGTGGCACAGTGGGAATTCAGATCTGTGCCCTACTCGTATTTCTTCTTGAGGTATTTATTCATACAGCTACCCCATGTCAGCTGGTGTATAAATACATACTGAAGATTTTGGAGCTCTGGCCCAGCCATCATTCTTAGTTATAATCAAGCCCCAAGTTTACATTTTGTTACTTTCAATTAAAACATGTACTTTGAATTCTTGGTAATCTTATATAACATCCTTAAAGTACAGATCAAACCTGAGTACTATGCAGAGAAGGATCCTGTGCTACTGGCCAAACACAAAGCATTAAAAATTGGGTCAATTCTCTCCAATACTTAATTCACTCCTTGGATTAAATAAGGACTTTGGGTGGGGGCTGGTGGCAGAGAATTTTAACTCCATCATTCCTCTGGACCCAGGGAGTGATGGGGCTCAGAATAAATTTCAGTTGGTCTGAATTCAAATTCCAGTAATCTCAGGGCTAAAGAATTTAAAATAAAATCAAACTTAGCATGAGTCATTTTGCACTAAACAGATTGATTCAAATTATTAGATAATCTGTTACTATTAATAACTTCAAAAAGTATAGATTTAATTTAAAGAGAAGTTAAACATACCTCTGTCTGGGCCATGCTCTATCCTTTTAAACATTTTAGCAGTGGGTGTGGCGAACTCAGTACCATTTTAACATCCTGTAGTGCCCAAAGAGGCCACAAGGTGGCAGGCAGCGGTTTTCAGGAGGTGTTGGTGATGCACAAAAGCTCCTTGCCCTCGGATTCCTTAGCATGCTAAAATAAAAATACGTGGGAAAGTTACATGTAAATAACAACGCTATTACATTGCTTTAAAATGTTAGTATAAGTACAAATTTTGAAACAAAAATAATAAAGATGCGTATACCACATGTCTCTCTTAGAAGTCTTCAGGACGGGGCGAGCTGCTGATCTCTCTCTGCTATCAGTCCACCACCAACACTCTCACCGTGGTCGTCTTAAAAGCTCGACACCTGCCCAAATCCGACGTGTCTGCGCTTTCAGGTAAGAATGCTGCCGAAAGGCTCGGGCTCAGGGTGTAAGTGAGCAACTCCCTGGGCAAAAGAGTTAACATAATCATGCTTTTAATTCACCTTTTATTCATAATCCACAAGTGATGCCACTGTTTTTCTGTTTCTCGTTTTGTGGAATAATAATGCGAGCAGGTGCTGTTAGCAAGAAGAAGAAAACGACACAGTTCCAAGATCTAAGCCAAAGAGCACAGTGTAGACGTCTGAATGGGGTTAAGCAGAGAGCAGTGATAAATGCAGGGGTGAGAGGCCATGGCCCAAAATACAGTGATGGATGTAAAGTAAAGGTTAGGGAGAAAAGTTCTTAATTTTAGTATTTTAAATGAACCTGCCTGTCTTTTCACTTCTATGATTATATTATGTTTCCTTTTAATTTTTCATATATGTGCTTTAAGAATTAGCTTTTTTGTTTTGTGGCTAATTAAAAAATACCTTGTTCTATAGTAAGATGCGAAAGAACACCTGACCTATGGGTTATAATGATCTGAGTTCACATCCTAACCCTCCCATTTCTTAGCACAGTAAGCTTGGCTATGTGTCTCTGTACAAACTGTACATCACACTTACCTTGAGGGGGACTGTGAGATCTAGAAACATGCACTTCATCAAATATCACTTATTATTATTATTATTAGTTGATAATAGAAGTTGAAAACGTGATATGGTCTTAAAGGTTTATATTAGGGAGCTAAAATTAACTCATGCTGCAACCAAGAAAAGGTAAAATAATATAATTAAATGTGTGATAAAGTAACATGATCCTAAAGTCCACACAATAACAGTGACACGGGGAAGGTCAACATCAGCAAATAGAAAGCAACCCTATAAGGCGATTAAAGAAGCACCAAAAATTTGAAGCCTGAAAGGGTATTGTCTCTGTGAACGCTAAGTGCCCGTTCAACAGAAAAAGCAACCCAAGCTCAAAGAGTCAGAGCCTTACCCAAAGCCATACAGCCCAGTGAGGTTAGGTGCTCGCTCCTGTTTTCCCTCCTATCCCATCCTCCGATGAGTTATTAGTAACCAGGCCGTGTCACTAGAACACTCCGTTCTTCCCCTTAACCTCTCTCCTGTCGCTGCAGTTCCTCTCTCAGCCTCTGGTTTAGAGCCGTTTTCTCTTTCGCTGCACATTCTCAGTCATTTCCCACTTGTTGACAAGAGAGGAGCCGACCTCTATGCGCCCTCTGCTCTGTCCCCTCTGTCCTGCCCCGTTTTCATTGCCCTCGCCTTTCGTGGGCACGCGGCCACCTCTAAGGGCGCCGCGCGCTGAGCTCAGCCCACCAGCCGGGCCCGGGCCCTGTAACGTCTGTCCTTCCCCTTGCAGACCCCTACGTGAAAGTGAACCTGTACCACGCCAAGAAGAGAATCTCCAAAAAGAAGACTCACGTGAAGAAATGCACCCCCAATGCGGTGTTCAACGAACTGTTTGTCTTCGATATCCCTTGCGAGGGCCTGGAAGAGATAAGCGTTGAGTTTCTGGTGTTGGATTCCGAACGGGGGTCCCGCAACGAGGTGATCGGGCGGCTGGTCCTGGAAGCAGCTGCGGAAGGCACCGGTGGGGAGCACTGGAAGGAGATCTGTGACTATCCCAGGAGACAGATCGCCAAGTGGCATATGCTCTGTGATGGTTAGCACCCTAGCCATGCGTTGGGACTTAATGATTTTTACTAGGCGAGGAGTAATTTTCTTTCTTCCTGATATCTAATTGCAAGCTTGTGACAGCAAGCTACCTTTTTGTTGTTGTTGTTGTTGTTGTTAGAAATGGATTGAGTTAGCAGACCAGAAAGTAACTGTAAATTATCATGGTAATTTCCCCCTTTCCTAGAGACATTGGATAAATTTTCATAAGAGATTTAATTTCCCCTGCAGGTTACCAGTGATATAAATAAGAGTAGTCAAGCATTTTATGAATAGAGCAGTACATGGTTATGTAGCAATCCCCGTTTATGGCTGTAGTTTAGGAGGTGACCTCATAGGAGCATGTCACTGGAAGTCAATGGGATTGTTAAGATTTAGAAATGAAAAGCGTGTCTTATGAAAATTCATCCATTTTTCTTTAGGTGGGGAAATAAATTTTTCTTTAGATCCAAAGATATTAAAGAAGTGTTCTCTAGTTTGTTTTTATTAATTATGTCATGTGCAAATGGTGTCCTACATCTAAAAGTATATGGTCATTGCCCTTTGTTTTATAATTATTTGATGCCATTTTATCCTAAGAGGAGTAACTTAGGTTTGCTTCAAGGGGGCGGTGAACAAACTGAGTCATTATTTTATCAAAGGGCTGAGTTGAGAACACTGTGGCTGAAATACGACTTTTCTCCCCCCTAAGGTTATATGTGAGTCAAATGTTGTAAAATATAATCTCACATAGGACCATGGCCTGGAATTACTCACTGCCTGTCACAAGCATCGGTGTGGTCTAACAAAGCTCTGTTCACCTTTGTGAAGTTGTTGAATTAGCTAGTGGGTAAAGAAAGAAACTTCAGGTAGAAATCCAGTTAGAAATGACGTTATCTTATATGTGTAGTATGCAAGTGTGCATTCAAGGCTTTCCCTGGGACGCAGAGGGCAGGGCTAAGTAAGTCTTCACTAAGTCATTCTCCAGAAAGGACTAAGATACTATCTGAAAACAAACAAACACAAACAAATAAAGACTGAAGTTTTAACCATTGCCAGACGAAAAGCATTGCTTAAACTAACGAACTGGCAAGATTAAAAAGTAGTTCTACAGCAAGCCTAATATAATTTACATATGTTCACACAAAATAAATTCAGGCTGTCAAATTAGCACAATAAAGTATGTTTCAGTATCTTTTCTAGGCTAATTTGCCTTGAGCTGTTTTCTGTAGAACAGTTTATCAACAGAATTGTGTCTTCATACTGTTTTTCCACTGCCAGGGCCCTGAAATGCATTCAAAACCTAGAGTAAAGCAGTGCCCTGTGGCTATTTGGAAAGAATGGACTTGAGGTAATGTGAGTTTTTAGAGAAGTATGGGTGAAACTCGGGTACAGTTGAATTATTAAATATGCAAGTTAGAAAATAAAGTCTACTGAAAATTTTACATTTTGAGTCAGGTTTCGTGTCAGTACTTTAGCGGTTTTTGAGAATGTGTTTGATATCTCCGTGTTTGTAAATTCTATGACAATGCATTTTCAAGGCAACTTATACATGCTTTTTATGACTATGCTTAATGTAAAGAAAACGTTTTACATGTACAAAAATGGAAACCGACCTCTTTTCTGTGCTTTAAGATGACTTTGGGATTGAAAAGACCATTCCCCAATCATTGTCCTCATCCCACCACAAAGTCACCTCTCAACATCTTGGTCCACTCAGCATTTTCGTGAAAGCAACATGAAATGAATTGCCGTCAGTGTGTGGTTTGGGGGAGCCAATGGCCTTTTTATGTATGTATATTTGGTACATGGGCCATGGAATATAATATATTTTAGAGTTTTGAAAACGTGTCAGTAGTCAACCCTAAGCATCCTTCCCAGCTGCCAGAAGTTAGTGGTGGTACCAAGTAAAGTATGATTGTTGGAGGAGGGTGATTTTTTTTTTTAAAGCAAAACAACAAAACCTACAACAAACACTTTTTAAATTACAATGAATAATTTGTAAATAGTTTTTAGTTATTAAAACTTAAAGTGTTTTTGAGTGTGAAAAGTCTAGTCAAACTATTTGCAACTGCTTTTAAGTAAAGAAAGAAGAGAAACTAAAAAGTAATGGAAACAGGCAGGGACATGTGTGATCCCATCATCTCCTGACAGTTGTCCTGTTTTATAATGTATTACAATATCAATGTGAATATCTTGAATCCTGTTACCAATCCTGCACTGTATTAAACATGTAAATTAATTTGTTTGTCTAATTAGCCGATCTCACCGCCCTCATGGGGAGGTGCTCCCATTTGAAGAACTGTGTAACTCAGTGACTGACTTGTTCTGATGTTGTAACTCAATAGAAGTGATTTGGAAGGAAGCATGGCGTGTGAGATGGTGTCTGTCCTTTTGTGCCAGCAATGTATGATGTTTGTAAGACGATGTTTGTAAGACATGAATAAATTGCTGCTTTTGCCCAACCCATTTTACTCAAGCTTTCTGCAAATGGACTTTGTAATAAGGCTTCTCTTACTTCTTTCTAAGCTCTCACATTTCCCTAATAGATCCCCTGGCATAGATTAGGGAACATTAGTGATTCAGCACCAAGATCTTTCATGTATCTCATTTTATTTTGCTGAATCCTCATAACAACCACCTGGGACAATTATCATTAGCCCTGTTATACAGAAGCAAAACCTGAGACTCAAGGAGCTTAGGCAATGGACTCAAGTGCATATGAACATATATCCACATTTCCCTGTTTATTAGATGGATAAAAGCATGCCCTATACTACATAATAGAGATCTTTCCAGGATTCACAGAGGCAGTTTTCACCCCTTTTTACAGCTGCATAGTACTCCCTCACAGCATCATTTTTAAATAATCGTGAACATATAGTCTCCTATTATAAGTAAGGCTCTAGTAAAAATGAAATGTGTATTTTACTGATCTTTACATTCTATAGTAGCTAGGTTGCATATAGTAAGTTCAATTAATATTTAAGTCTGAGCCATCACAAGTCAGATTGGAAGCAAATTTAATTGATGATTATACAGAAAAACTATGAAAACCACTATTATTCTGAAATAGTAGTAGAAAAGAGCTACTCCAAAGATATAAAAAGGTTTTTTGTCATTCTGATGTACTTTAATAATAGATATCCCACCCTGGCCAGTGTGGCTCAGTTGGTTGGGTGCCATCCCATGTACTGAAATGTTGTGGGTTCAATTCCTGGTCAGGTCACATGCCCGGGTTGCAGGTACAATCCCTGGCAGGGGGCGTGCAGGAGGCAGCTGATCAAAGTTTTCCTCTCACATCAATGTCTCTCTCACTCTCCCCCTCCCTGTCTTTCTAAAGGTCAATAAAAATATTTTTTAAAAATAAAAAGTAGACATCTCAACTTTTGTCAAATTAGTTTTGGGTTGAACTAGGTTTTTTGTTTGTTTCTGAGAATTGGATTTGCACTCCCAATTTCTAGTATTAAGCTAATACTGAAGTGTTTTTGTATTCCTTGTAGGATATCATCTGAGGTCAAAGAAAGATAATTTAAAAGCAATTATGATATGAATTTGATTTGAAAATTTACTGGGAGTGATTTGAAATCCTATCATTGAGATTGTACAGCACACATGAAATGTGACCCAATAAAATGCCAAAGTTCATCTAAGAAAAAGATACTCGGCATAGATTATGGGAGGACCTGCCCAGGTGGCCTGTGCAAAGTCATGCAGAGAGCAATTGCGAAATCACTCTAAGCAAGGAGATGTTTGGGCCAGCACCTCAAATGTCGGCAGGGCTCAGGCAGAGAAGGCGGAGCACATTGAATGTATTGCCTCAGGTTTACTACAATCATAGGTCATTTATTCAATGGAGAACCCTTAAATACACATGACCTTTGGATGGGAAATAGGTCTAGTTCTCAACTCTAATTTGCACCCCTGACCCAGTTTGCAGATAATACTGGTGATGCTAGTGACCTAGCTGCTTTATTGCCTCTAGTACTAACATCCACCACTGTCACATTCTATGATTCTGCATGTTCCTCCCAAATTTAATTCTATTGTGATATCATTTAGTCAAGTAACAACTCTGGTCAATTTGGTTCTTCCACATCTTTCTCGAAAGACAGTCTGGGGGGACAAAAGACTAGAGAAATTTTAAGTGACAATGTTGAAACCAAGTCCTCTATTTGGCCAACATGGACCTTTTTTCTTTCTCTCCTGGCTCTTCCCCAGCTACTTCATCACCACCCTTGCACAGATATGCCCGATGAGAGGTAAAAGGATCATTCGACGTCTTCAGAGACTGAAGTACAAGTACAAGATGGTAAATTTAATAAAAGGGTGTACAAACAAATGGTAGATTCTGAAGGCAAACTTATGTTCCTCAGAATCGTCCTGTAGGTTTGGCCTTAGGATTGTTAATAGATTTGTGTTATCCCATGGAACATACCAATCGGAAAAGGTGGACTGAAACAAAGTTTTATATGCCAAATCCTATTTAATGCTGACTTCACTCCAAAGTGCTGCTTACATAAGGAAACACAATTTTTTAAATATACTATGTGTTTGTGATTGGTTTGGAGCAAGAAGTCTTAAAACTAGAAAGAGAGAGAAATTTGGGAAACTTGAACTTTCAGAAAGCCATCTACAAGCCCACTCTTGAAATTTCTGTCTTGATAGACTTCATGTAGGATCATATAATACGTTCTAAAAGCAAACATACAAACAAACAACAAACCAAAACCAAACAAAAACCTTAGCAAGACATTCTTATTGCCTACAACTTTTAGTCAATACTGATTTAGAGTTTATAAAGTACTTTGATACACTTTGAACTCATCAAATCTCCAAAAAGACCATGTTGATAATGTAGAAAATTTATTTTTGGACCAATTTTACAGATAAGGACACTGAGGCTTAGAGATATTATATAACTTGTCCAAAGTGGGAGAAAGGGAGATTTGAGCCTAAATCTTTTATGTTTTCTGTTTATTTTCATTCTTCAATACCATGCTATAGAGAATATTTTTAAAGTATAATCTTTTGATATGTGAAGATCTTCCTTCTCATTTTCTAAATATAAAGGTTGGTGTGTGTTTTTCACTTGGTATTTCCTTCTGTCTGTTCTACACAAGAATTCTACTTGGACGTGTAATTGGCCTGTCAAATTTAGCACATCCAAAACAGAACCCACAATGAACCAGCTTCTTATCAACTACAGGTCTCTTACCACAGTCTTCTACTTCTAGTAAATGGCCACTCCACTCCAGTTAATTAGCCCTAAAATTTTGTGGCTTTAAATTCATTTATTTTTCTCAGACCCACATATCCAGGCCATCAGGACACCCTGTCAACTGAAAACAACTCACCATCCTCTACTTTCAGCTACCACCAGCTCTTTACTGGACTATTCCAAGACTCCCTAATGGCCTCTCTGCTTCCATTCTCAAAGTACGCGGCAGCCAGAATTATTCTTTAAAAACAGACAAACAAATCAACAAACAAAGTAAGTCATTCCATGTCCCTTCTGTTCCGAAAACCTCCCAGAGCCTTCCCCCCTGAACCTGGCCAACCTCGGCGGCCTTCCTCCCTCACCTCCCTGACCGTTCCTCGGTCTTCTTCTTCACTGTGCTTCAGTCTCATGGGCCCTGCTACTCCTCAGCCCCACCAAACACGCTGCTCTTTCAGGACCTTTCCCTGTACGTCCCGTACCTTGGATGCCCTGCCCGGCAAAATTCCAACATGCTTTGCTCCCTTATTTTCTCCAGATATATACTCAGTAGCCCTTCAAGAGAGATGCTTTCTGTGAACTCCATCACCTGCCCCGCCTCCACCTTCACTCTACTTTTCTCCATAGCTCTAATTCCCTCCTGAGAAAATACATATTTACTTCGTGATTATCTGTCTCCAACCACTAGGACTAGGATGTAGTCCCCATTAGGGCAATGACTTGATTTTTTAATCCCAGGTCCTAGAACAGGGCCTTACACATGTCCCGTGTTTAGTCAATATTTGTTAAGCAGATGTACAAATGAAAGTAATCAGGCCCACAAATGTTCAAAGCAAACCTTCTTTAGTTATGTTCAATATTTGTGGGTTATGCCTCTTTAGTGAAAACCCATTCCTTTCTGTGGCAGCCCGGGAATCCATGGAATGAAAGAAAACAGATCTACAGTTAGGATTCCCTAGAATTCTCTGGGAAATGATTTGGGTATTCTATGGTGCAATGGTAAATGAGAAGAGCCAGTCACCTCACTGTTTCCTTAATATGCTATCCTGCTTCCAAATGCTGTATTTAACAATTTAATAGTTGGGCATTTTCAGAGCCTAAGTCCCTAATTATTCACCATTAGGAACTTTGGGGAAAGGATGTCAGTAGCTGAAAAACAAAATTTAGGTTCTTTAATTTTCACTTTTATCCAATTTCTTAATTTAGGGAAGTTCAACAAGAGAGGAAAATCATTTCAAGAAGACTGTATGCAGGACTTTCTCTCCTGAGTCTTAAGCATAAAATACTTTCAGATATTGTACCTGACCTTCGGAACATGACTGTCATCTACTTTAATTGACAACTTCCCCTTTGCCATGAGGTGAAGAGGCTAACCTGTTACCGGTATGCTAGAAGCAAAGTGGATACACAATTGAATTCAACCTAGGGAACAGGAGACTGCTTCTTTTGTGGTATTGTGATTTGAAATAACTTTCAAGAGATAAAAATGTCACCAGTAACATGATGTGTTCCATATAGGTTTACAAGTCAACAGAGGGGGTTTAGGTCTGTGAGCTTAAAGGGGGCTAAATGCAGAGAGCTTTCCTCTCTTGGGAAAGGTGGCTACTGCCCACTGCCGCATCCTACAGTCCTGAAATTCCCGAGAATAGCAACAGACATATACAGCTGTCTTATAAAAATCTCAAACTTTAATCAAAATACAAGGGATAGAGCCCTAGCCAGTTTTGCTCAGTGGTTAGAGTGTCAGCCTATGGACTGAAGAGTCCTGGGTTTGATTCCAGCCAGGGGCACATACCTCGGTTGCAGGCTCAGTCGGTTGGTGTGAGAGCAGGAGGCAACCAATCGATGTGTGTCTCACATAGATGTTTCTATCTCTCTCTCTCTTTCCCCTACCCCCTTCCACTCTCTCTGCAAAGCAATAGAAAAAAATATCCTTGGGTGAGGATTCTAAATAAATAAATAAAGGAAAATTTAAAAAATTAAAAATATAAGGGATAGAATTTTTAGGACTTGCAGATGCCATAGAGATCTAATCAACCTAACATGCTCCTTTAATAGATAACAGGACTTTAGTGACTCGCCTGGTAAATAAGAGTTTCATCTGTAGAACCTGCTCACAGATAGATCAGAGCATGATATGCCACTTCAGAGAGCTGGGTGTGCTAGTTTCCCAGTACTTCACATATCAGACTACCTAAACAACTTATTCATTGCCTCTTTGCATTGTCACAGCAATGCTCTCCCTTTGGATGGATT